TGTTTAAAGTGGTGAAATAGCCACTTGAAATGTCCGAATTTTGCGAATTTTTAAACTTTGAGGTCGAATATCTCCTAAACTAAGCGTTTGCGGTACCTATAATATATTTTTTGATCAGGAGAACGTCCTCTTTCCAACGGTACCTTCAAATCGCGGCGCCAAAGGAATCGGAATTGTGCCCTCATATTTTCACATACATACATCTGTATGCATTAGACAATATCTAAGGTATATTAGTAAAACTAACTGAAGTAAGATATGCTTCAGTGTAATGCCGAAAGTATGTGACATTTTATGTGACTACCAATTTCTGTTATTTTAACAAACCTTATTGTATTAATGGTTTAACGCTGAGCATATGAATGGGTTAGTTTAGACCTTGGTCTCAGGCAAATATCCCTAATATCATCAATTCTGATCCTCTTGTTGACGTTTTAGGCATCAAAGCAATTTATTAAAATTAGCCTTTTTGGTTAAGTTTTTTGCTTTTTTTTGCAATGACAAACAGAGTAAACAGTGTACTGCAGAGCAATTAAATATTCATTTAAAAATAATTTTTACGTTTTTTGTAGACTTGGTTTTGGACGACTGTAACTGTTTTGAACGTACTTATGCTTTGACTAAATGTTGTACATAAAATAATTATAATTCTATTTTATTTAGCTAATAGTTGTTAATTTATCATGTCTGTCTGATTCCACTCTATTTTAAATATTTCCTCTGTATTCTATTGTATGGTTTAGTGTTTGTTTCTCGCCGGTAGGCTTTTTTCAAAACCTTCAGTGCCTCATATTTTCCTGCCTCTATTTTTTATATATTTTTGGTATAAAATATTTGATACTTATACTAATATTTGATACTTAAGTGATCGGAACCACATAAATAAATAAAGAAAATCACTACAAAGTTGAATTTGTTTTATATTCAAAACCTTCAAATTAAATGAATTTTCAAAAAATTTATACTTTTAGTGCTTTATGAGAGCCTTATTTGATTATAACCCTTTCGAAGATGCGTTGTTACCATGCAAAGATATTGGACTGGCTTTTAATTCGGGTGACATTTTACAGGTTCGAATATATTAAATAATTTGTAGAGATCTAACAATTAGGTTTTGGTGCAGATATTGAGTGTAAAGGATCCGAATTGGTGGCAAGCGAAAAACTTCAACGATCAAATGGAGCGGATCGGTCTAATACCTTCACAAGAATTGGAAGAGAGACGCAAAGCTTTTGTTGTACCCGAAGCTGATTTCGCTCATAAGATAGGCATATGCGGAACACGGGTCTGTGAATTCTATATTTAGAATATATCTGCAAACATTAATGCCATTTTAAATAACAGGTCTCAAAGCGTAAAAAAATTACTATGTACAAATCTAAAGCAAATTGCGAATTTGACAAAGCTGATTTGCTTTTATATGAGGAGGTAACAAGGATGCCACCATTTCGAAGGAAAACTCTGGTGTTAATTGGTGTTCCAGGAGTTGGCAGGCGCACCCTCAAAAATCGTCTTATCAATAGTGATCCGGAGCGATTTGGAACCGTCATACCCCGTAAGAGATAATTAAAAAGCAAAACAGTTAATAAAATAAATACACATTTTTTTTAGACACAACTAGACCTAAGCGACCACTTGAAGAAAATGGAGTCAGTTATTATTTTACTAATCGTGAAAAAATGGAAGAACAAATAAAGCGTAATGAATTTCTTGAATATGGTAGTTACAATGGACATTTATATGGTTTGCATTTGAACTCTGTGAATGAAGTGATCGAGAGTGGTAAGGTTTTGTAATTATTTATTTAGTGCTCTGCATGGATTGAAACTTTGAATAATCTTAGGTCGGATGTGCATATTAGATTGTGCTCCAAGCACTCTAAAATTTCTTCATAATAGTCAGCAGTTGATGCCGTTTGTTATATTTATCGGTGCTACTGGAATGGAGCAGCTAAAACAAGTTTACTCTGAAAGACGTGCAACAGGATCAGTTAAAAGTTTATCGGTAAGTCGCCATGCTCAATTATTTTAATTTGCTATTGGGATATAATTATAAGTAAAGTCCGTTCACATAACAGTCGGGTCTACGTAACCGGATTTTTATCCGGTCAAGGACTGTCAACTCGGCGGAATTCTGCCGCTACAACAACATCAACATAGGTTAAGTTAGTATCGATTAACAACATTATTTCCTTTAGTATCCTAGTATGCAACTAATATAATATTTCATCATTCCTGCATAAAAGATGATTTACTTACTTGTCATATTTATTCTTAAAAACTAGTGCAAACCAAGCAAAATCTTCTATCAAACATTTTTAATTCACTTTTGCAACGAATAAAATTAAAAATTTTAATAGTTCATATTGCGAACAACTTGTGTAAAAATGGTTTGTAGCCTTGACAGAAGACAGTGCTAATACGGATATGCATTAGCGAGCTTAATTTACATTTACTTGCGCATTTGACCCATGTTAATTCAACTTTGTAATGCACAAGAATTTCGTACATTTAGAATTTACCAAATTTTAGTAGGCAACACTGCTCAAAAATGGCAGATTTTTGCTATTTTTTGACAGTTGCCAAATAAATTTTATTAAATTATACTAGTGATAGTTGACCCGACCACTCGATGCTGTGGAATACATTTTTTAATATTATGCAAATAATAAATTATTCAGTACAGGGAATATTTTATATACGAATAAAGGCGAAAACGTTTTTGTCGGTATAAGAATCTAAGGAATTGTATTTGAGCTTTAATTTTTTATATTTTCTTGCAAATAAATTTCATCGGCAAAAATAACGATTTTAAGGTGTTTTTTTCCAATGTATGATTAACAGCATCAGTTAGCTAAGTCCTAACTAAAAAAAATGGTCCCTATCGAAAGAGGAGATATTGATTAAGTTTACCAGAACTTAAGTGACAAGTGGCTGCTAACTAACCAGGCATTGAGGAAACGGCCATTTATGTTTGGCATTTTATTGAAAATTAAAATTACAGTTAGTTACATCCCTAACACGCATTACCATAATCCACAAACAAAAAAAAAAAAGTGCAAGAGAGACTTCGTGTTATGGCAGGCAAATATATGAAATGTGGTGTCAATTCCAGAATTCGAGGTATGGAGAACTTCGAGTTATGGAAGTTCAACTGTATTATATTTTTTTTTTTTGGATTCTGAACCCATGTGTATGTTTATAAATATATAAATATATCGGTTAATAAAGTTGTCCGCTTAATAGATTGTACTAACTAAACATAAACAAATTGTGCGACCGGCCAATGTGCACAGTTAATGGAGATGTCCGCTTAATAGAGCGTTCATTTAATAGAGATTTCATCGTATTTTTTAATTATGAATTATTTTCACTGTCCTATATTTTAAGTTGGACACAGTGTGCACAATTTTACTAAAATCGGTTCAGTAGTTTAGGAGTCCATCGCGGACAAACAACCTGACAAGTAATTTTTATATACAAAGTTTACAAGAAATAGACTCACTTCGTTTTACATCTTTAAATATTTCTTTTATATACGCTTTTTGTATTAACCTTTGACATTTATCAGGTATGCTCGAACACAGATAGGTAGGTAGTAGTGCAGCCCTGTAATCCATTGGGCTCAATTTGCACTTGATGTGCCATTTTCATACACTATTCGTAGAACCTCCTCTATCTGCTATTACGTTTAACCTTCTCTCTCAACCATTTTGATGTTCCGGTGAAACTGCTTATGGCTGATATGCTTTTAGTGGAAATCCATTCAAGGTTTGGTGCTTGATGGATTCCAAGTGTTTTGTGTCGGATCTGGGCTAGAGTTGGGCATTCGAAGAGAAAGTGGAAAGTTGTTTCCTTGTTCCCTGCTACTGCAGATGTCGTTGTAGAGCATACCCATTTTGGACGCATGTTCCCCAAATGGCCAGTGCCCTGTTGTTTTAGCTGTTACTCTGTAGATACTTCTTCTTGACCTATTTAATAAGTCGTTCTTTTCCTGTCATATGTTGGCCATAATAATTTAGTTATTACGCAGTTTTTCCACCTGCTATTTGCAACTTGTTATCAACTCCAGCTTTGGGAGAATGTAGTTTGATTTATTAATGGTGAGCTTGTTTAGGTTAACATTACACTATGTCCCTAGTTTTGCTGATTACAACCACCCAATTCTTTTATTCTTATCGCTGCAATAGCTGCTTTTTTGTGAATAAACATTGAGCGCATCAGTCGGACATGATCTGATTGCACCACGTGCTGCTCTTTGTATTGCATTTAAATTTCTAATGTTGTATTGTTTGTTTAGCGCTGGGCACCATACYAGAGCTCCATATGTAAATATAGGTCTTATGACAGCCGTATACATCAACATAATTATACTTGGTTTGCGGCCCCAATTCTTGCTGACGATTCTCTTACAAGTATAGTAGACCGTGCATGTTTTATTTATTCTTTTTTCTATACAGTTGACAAGACAGTTTGGTGTCAATCTCCACCCCCAAGTATTTAGCTGTATGGGATAGAGTGAGAGTTGTGTTTAGTACCGGAAATTGAAACTGAGGGATTTTGATTTCTCTTGTGAATAGCATCTGTTCTGTTTTGTTCGGGTTAACTACTAGTTCATTGTTCTTAGCCCATAGGTTTAACCTTCGAAGTGATCATTCCATAATCTCGCTGACTGTTGATGGAAACATGCCTGATACCAACTACAGAACCCATAGAAGCGGAGACCTCCTTGAGGGGTCTCTCTATTCACATAACTTGTTTGTGTTGCAGCGCCGTCGATAGTATCCATCTGCATCCAGAGAGGTAATTATAGTATTTACTTCTAGAAAATCAGCCATGGTGTATTGTTTGTGGTGTAGTGATTTTTCAATTACACTTATCACCTCGTGAAGGGTAGTTTCGGTTGATCGGCCTTTTATGTACGCATGTTAGGACACCGATAACTTCTCCCCTTTTATTGTTTTTACGTGTAAATCTAGTACCTTCAGCATAAAGGAGGTATGGCTTATAGGTTTAAAATCCTTGGTATTCTCCTGTGTTCTTCTGTCTGGTTTTGGAAGGAACACAACTTTACTTCTTTTCCAACTTCTGGGAATGTGAGATAGGTGAATGCTAACTTTGTATATATTTCATAGCCTTTGAACCATTGGTTTTACCAATTTTTGCAGCATTAGGAGCATAATCCCGTCAGGACCTGCCGCTTTAAATGGTCCGAAACTATTTATGGCATATTTGATTTTGCTTTTGTCTAGTATTTGGCTTCGGTAATCAGCTGCGTTTAACGGTGGTTCTGGTTGAACCCTCGTTGGAGATTTTTACTGACTCCTGGGGAAATAGTACATCAAGAGACTCTTTTGCCGAGTAGGTCCAATCACTTCCCTCTGCCCTAATGTAGGCAGTATTAATATGATCTTTGGATAGCATTTTGCTCAGCCTAGCGGTTTCTCTGCATCTTTCTATCAATATGCAGAAAGAACGAAATGAGTCGTTAGCTTTCCTGACTGCTTTTTTTTTGTATCTTTTCATAATATCTTTATATGGCTGCCAGATTTGGGTTCTAAAACTCTCATTGAAAGCCTTCCTTGGCTGTGTTTTCAAATTCTTGAGTTCACTGTTCCACCAAGGAAGAGACTCTCCCTTTTTCAAAACTGTTAGCGGAGTGGATTTATTGAAAGTTGTGGTTAATATTTTTTCGAGCTTCTCTACTTCTGAATCTAGTTCCTGAGGATTTCTGATACTCTTATTGCCTCCTTTTTCAAGGCATTTTGTTGCTATACTGGTAAGTTTTTGCCATGGTGTTCTTCTATGGTTCCGATATGTGAGAGGAGCACTGTATTTCTCGCGGATGCTGAAGACTATCTAGGAGTGAGCCGACATGTAAGGCTCATGGGATACCCTCAGTTATCCACAACGAGACTGTCTGTGTCTGTTGGTAGCGTAATTTCCAGCACTTCCTCCCACCCCGCAAACCTATCAGAGTTTGGGCGGAAATGAAGGTTGGCTTATCGGCCTTGTTGCATATACTTAGATTTCTATTCAGAATATACTGCAAGAGTGACTCACCTCTGTTGCTTATACTGAGCGGGGTCGATGGTATGTCTTCGTCATGGGCCAAGTGGGCCGAGACCAAGAAGAAGGGCTTTTCCTTCTGTTTCACCTTTACCACTGTAATATCTGCTGCGCTGTAATACTGTAATAAGAAGTAATAAATGCATTTATACTTCTATTGATAAGAATGCATGCCCTAGGTGAAAAAGGTTATAGTTGCTGCTGTTGACCCAGGGCTCCTTTATTAGGCTGATGCCGATGCCCTCCTCGTTTATGAGGGTTGTCAGATATGCTGTAGCACTCTTCGAGTGCTGAAGGTTTATCTGTACGCATCCTACGTTATTTGGCATCTCGGGTTTCATAGATGCCCTTATTTCTTAGCAATTGGCTGGCGTCGTCGACCTCTTCCATGTCGTCTTCGTCAGCCGCTTTGACGCCTTGGAAGATTCCGAAGCTGATTTTGTAGTCAAATTTTTTGACAGTCTCAATGGACTCATCGCAAATGACCACCAATATTGGTATACTTGCTTAATTCGATTTTTCTTCCTTGAACAGCTGCCACTCATCTATTAGGTATAGATTTGTTTTGCAGCTTGATGCACCTGAGAAGTTTTTCGCCTGGCTCCTTTAGAGGGAGAGAGCCAAATACGAGCACGAGGTCTTTTCGGAATGTTCCTGGCGGGTATAAGCCTCAATTGGAGGCCATTAAACTCGTTGCTGATTTTGGAAACACTACCCGTCAGGAAGTCTAGCGAGACCTGGTCCGCGCAGTTCATGACCCTGTATCCCCTGAAGGTTTCAGAGGAGTCAAAGTTCGGGTGAGGACCCGCAGGATTGTTGAGTACAAAGCTTAGCACCATACTCAACAATCCTACATTGATCTCCGCCCATCTTTCCTGTATAGTGCTCGGGGAGGAGGTATTTCCATCTATGATGGCCACTTGCAGACTATCCCTG